AGCGTGCATTTTTCAGGACAAGTTTTTAAAGACCTTAAAAAGTCTGAAAAGGGGTTAGTATGCCTTTTGGACAATGTTGGAAGTTATGCAATGCATTTTTATTTGTTCATTTTGGACATGTTCTAATTAAACAAGGGTTAAGCATTAATAGCTTTTACCATATGAACACCCTAGAAAAGCATACACATAATTAATAAAAAGGAATTAACCGTCATGAAATATCTGATTGAAAATTTTGGAGAGGGAAAAAAACAGAAATATTTAGGGGGCGACAGTGGCGCTGGATGTAGAAGTTTGCCCTGAAATCGAAGGGTTGACGGTTCAAGCCCCTGCTCTGACTGTCATTGTCGTTGTGTCCTTGGGCAAGACACTTCACCTGCATTGTCTACTGATGGTGGTCAGAGGACCCGGTGGCGCCAGTGTTCGGCAGCCCCGCTTCTGCTGTGGCTACAATGTAGCTTGCCACCATCAATGTGTGTGCGTGAATGGGTGAATGAATGTAGTGTAAAGCGCTTTGGTCAAGTCTCCTGGCTTAAAAAAAGGCGCTATATAAGTACATGCCATTTACCATTTATGTTATGTAGAATTAGAAGCTTCTTATTTCACCTAAACCAATTCCTTTCTCTGTTTTTGCTGTGTTTATGTGCCCAACAGAGTACTTCTTGCAGAGTTGGAGCGGCATCAGGATGCATGGCCTTTTCTCACGCCTGTTAACCTGAAATCGGTTCCCGGCTACAGGAAAGTCATAAAAAAGCCGATGGACTTCTCAACAATACGAGAGAAGCTAGTTAGCAGCCAGTGAGTTTCCATCACTTCATTTTGTTTGTTTTCTTGCTAAAAAAAAAAAATAAATGCACATGAATAACTCTGTATCCGCTCCCAAGAGGGAACGCCTATTAAACTTGTGCGAGAGCATGCAGGAGCCCATTTCTCCTCGTGCACGCTTTGTTTAAAAGGTGCTGTTCTCATAGCTCATATGAGCTTACTTTGTCCGAACGTCCGCCCTACCCCTAAATCCCTCAATCACTATATAGAGCGGGGACTATATAGTGAACTCGGCTAACTTACTGTTCGGACAGACGATCACTACTTTTTTTCCCACGTTGGTCATGTAACTCCTCCCCCACAGCACGGTGCCTGCGCCATCTTTATTATTAGTCGTCGCTGTTGGGTAGCAACAGCCTATGGCGACAGCGGGCTGCTGTGACAGCAAATACTGTAATGATTTGCGAGGAAAGCTCTCCACCAAAAGCATTCTAGGATATATCTGCTTTTTCTGAGGCCTTTCCTTCGTAGATGTTTTTTCTCTTATGACCCTCGGCCATTTTCAAAGAACCGCGGTGAGAAAGATGAGTTTCAATGACTGTCTGAAACCGTAGCTCACCACAGGTAATACGCCTGAAAGTGCGCATGCACGGAAAAAGATAGCTAACGGGACGTGCACGTAGGATGGCCTTAATGTAAACATATCACAAAATATCATCCTCTATACCTTTAAAATAAGTAAGAATCCCATGTATTAAGGTTAACATGTAACCATAATTGTTTTCCTTTGTTTCAGGTATCAAAACCTGGAGACGTTCATCATTGATGTCAACTTGGTCTTTGATAACTGTGAAAAATTCAATGAAGACAATTCGGACATTGGTCGAGCCGGTCATAACATGAGAAAGTTCTTTGAGAAGCGCTGGACTGAGCTTCTGAAGCAAACAAACTAAACTGTTCAGACTCTCCTTGTGAACCCATTCAACGTTTCACACCAGAACACCAAGTTTTAGCCTTTTTTTTTTTTTTTTTTTTCCAATGGAGTTTGTGGCTTTTTGCAGGACGGAAGAAAAAGTCGGCTCCTTCATAAGGAATCCATTGTGTGCTAAAGAAAGATATCACTCTAGAAAAAATAATAAAAAAAATAATAAAAAAAAGACATTGTTACATGAGGTGCGCTGGATTTCTTACAACAGGGATAAAAGCCCCAAAGAGTCCCAGAGAAATGGGGTATCCTAGTGCAATACCATTCCCTGTCTCAGAACACTGCACTGAATGAATCCTCAAATGTCACTGATGTATCTGCGCTAGAATACTTTCCACTACCTGTACATAGTCTTTTGTTATTTAATCGTATTATAGTGAATGTATTTAATTTTGTAATAATTATTTATGAATCAAGGTCCACTTCATTTTCTATGAAAAAGGAGAAATCATCTAAAACTGCTTTGAATTTCAACAACAACAACAAAAAAAAGGAATGTGTCTTTGTGTTCTAGTTTTTTTCTTCTTCTCCCAAATATCAAAACAAAGCCAAGAAAAGAAAGAGGAAAAAAGAAAACTGTTTACACTGTTCAGTGTTTTGGGGCATCAGAGAACTGTATTCATTTGTTCAAACTGTAAAACTGCGTTTATTTACAGGAGCAGCAGAGGAACAGTTGAACAACAGTGATCCGTGTGTATATACTGTTTATTAATGTCAATATTATGTCTTGTTTGGAACGATGTGTAAAAATTGTTTAAGAATATTAAGATATTGTTTATGCCTTAGAATGATTGTAGCATTCTATTTTAGTGAACGTGATGAAAGCATTATCATAAATATTGTTTGTACAGTATATACATATCCTCTGCAAACACTGTGGTATCCTTAATCTTGGTAGTGCCTACCCTTCCAACAGGGGCATGTAGGGGATGTTGTTGTTTTCTTTTGTTTTTGTTTTTTTTTAGTTTTCATTCTTACGACAATTATTTTTGTTTTTATATTTGAGTTGAATCTGACAGGGCCTCCAAAGTTGGACAATAACACAGAATCATTCCTCACCTTACCAGAGAAACAAAGGAGCAACAAGCATTCGGTTCCGCTTCCGTGATGCGTTTCCTCAGAATCTGCCACAATACAAGAGGACCTAAAGGCCATTTGTAACCACTGTGTTGAACCTTGCTGTGTGTCGTGGCCTGATGGAGGCAGCTAGATTTTTTTGTATCCAAGTCAAAAGTACTTGAAGTTACTTTATTTAAGATATTGTGGAATAAAAGTATCATTCTTTTGTAGGAGCTTTATTTTTCACTAGTGTGTGGCACGGACCTATTAAAAGGATGTTTTTCAATGTAAGCGTCTTATAATCGTCTCATTTCAGTTTCCACTACAAAGTGGACCTTTTTGCTACGTGTGTCTTTGTTTTGGATCACAGAATTAATAATCTTTATTCTCTTTCCAAATAGAAATGAAACCTCAGTATGCATGTGCTGCTTTAACTAAAAGTAGGATGTAATCCGTGAAGTAATAATTGTGCCATAAATAAAAGCGCCACATATTTTTATAGACTCTCAACAATAATGCCGAAACCCTAAAGGTTATAGATGCGTTATAAACTAATACATGACCTTCAGAACCACAAAATCTGCCTCAGACCTTAATCCGCACAATATTGTGTGTAATAAATTTCTTCATCATAAATCAGATTGTACAGTTTATTAAAGCCATCAGGATTCACTTTGTAAAATTAGTTTTATAAATTATGAACCTTCGCTGTGTAATATACCAACATAAACTTACTACTGAAACAGTAGGCAAATGTCAATGATAGTCAAAACTTTCAGCACATGTAGAAAAACAAAATAGACTACATTTAATTTCTTAGTTAAATGATTTTTACATTGGATTGTAAGGAAAATAATATAAAAGAAAACAAAACAACCTACTATGATAGCTAACTATTTTGCAAAATAAAATATTTTTATGGCAGTTGTATGAGGAGGCATGCTTTTTATCTTGAAATAGAAATTAAGATTTGAAGGTATAGGGGAGGAAGTTATTTTTCCAGGTGGATGATCAAAATAAGTGGTCCTCCTAATTGTAAATCATTCTGGTGATATGTTTATGTGATGCCGTCCTACGCGCTCATCCCTATTTCACTTATCGGTGATGAGTCTGACACAGTGGAAAAATTGCAAATGGTCTTTTGGAAAGTGAGCTTGTATGAGCGATGCAAACAGCAACTTTTAAACAGAGTGCACGAGGAGAAATCCCCTGCGCGCGTTTAATATGAGTTTCCTCTTGGGAGGGATTAGGTTGGAACAGGGTTGTGCATCAGCATTTTTTATTAAATTTTTTTTAAAGGGTGGGTCTTTTCAAATATTTGAAAAGAATCTTCCACTTCCACCTTTAATCAGTGTAGGTGAAGAGCTGAAGATGTAAAAGTTATTTTTGTTATTTAATGGTAATTAAGCATTGGTAAAAAATACACTAAATCATACAGATAATCATTGGAGTCATGGTATTGTTAAGTTGCATATTTGCAAAACCATAAGGCTTCTTTTATCAACAGCAGAAAGGAGATATAGATGTCCCTTTTATCTCCTTATCCTTTCTCAGAAACATAACAAAGCTGCAGCTGCAAATGATCTCATCCACAGACCTGAAGGCCTTCTCTCAGACTCTGCAGCACCTCTTCATCCATTCGCTGACCCAGGAGAAAATCTGTCTGCTGGAGTAAACATCCTGCTTATAACATTAGCAGAGAAATGTCATCTATTAGTCCTTAACTCCAGTAGACATATAGCCCTAACATCTTTATTGGCACATGTTGTTAACAAGTGAAGACCTTTAAAAGCCAAGGTTACTTTTCTTTTTACCTTGGGACCAGAGGGGAATGTAATTTTAAAGGACTTGAACAAACTTTTAAAAATCGCCCTTTTCTACATCTGATTGTATAAAAAGGAAGCTTAAGGAAATAAAAACCATGAAGGGAAAATGTCGTGAACGTGTAGATAATGATGCAAATCCCCATATCTTGGCTCCTTTCTCTTAAGCATAAATTAAGGATTATTAGCTTTAACATACATGAATAAAAAAAAATAAAGTTAAATTGAAATTGTGTAGGTGCCACTATAATCAGCATTATGCTATAAAGTATATTTCCAGGTAAATAATCTTGATTTATTTTAATTTTGTAAACGGTCGGTAGTCCAATTTCGGAGCTACAGTGAAGGTAGCATATCAGTGACGTCATGGTCAGCTGAACAGAGAGGAAGTAAACACAGAGAGAAAAAATAAAAACCAATAAGCGATAATTAGAAGATCGGTAAGAATTACTTTGGCTTTTTAAAATGGGTGTTACATTAAGGTTTTTATGGAGCTTCCATGTGTATCTCCCTGCAGTCTTTAGTTCTTAATAACACAGTTTTGTGCTTTAATGTATATTTTTTCTTGTATTTTAAATAAACAGAAGGTGTCTCTTAATTCCGAGGAACCGTTAGCACCAGTTTGCTAGTTTTTCCAGCGATTTGATGCAGTTCTGTATACTAGATGGTGTCGTTCTGATTTTATTTATTTTCCTATTTTAATTAGGATTTGCTCTCATGGCGTCTCTAATCTGTACGTTACGAGACCATCAGGACGATGTGAACTGGTGTGCCTTCTCCTCCAAACTGCTGGCCACCTGCTCCGGGGACAAAACCATCAGGATCTATAAGAGTCACGACTTCTCGGAGCTGCCCTTCTCCCCCCTGACAGGACACGGCTACAGCGTCCACTGCTGTTGCTTCAGCCCCTGCGGACAGTTCCTCACCTCCTGCTCCACGGATGCCACCGTGGTGGTGTGGTCCATGGTGAGCGGTGACATCGAGGCCGTCCTGGAACATCCTGGTCGCAGTCCTGTTAGGATCTGTGCTCTGTCCCCTAACTCTGTCCACCTGGTTTCTGGTGCATCTGATGGCACTTTGGCTCTCTGGGACTTCCCCTCTAAAAGACTGTCCAGGTGAAAAGAAGAGAAGAAATCATTTTCTTCTTATTCTAAAAGAACACTGGAACTACTTAATCAGTGGCGGTTCTAGACAAAAATATACCAGAGGGCCAGGAGGGGCCCCCCGTGGGGGCCCAGAAAAGCATTAAATAAAAACAGGGTGAGGGATTCAAATATAATAAGATAGCTACATGAAGTGAAATTTCTATTCAATTAGGTTTAATTAAAATTCCATGTCTTATTAGGTCAATTGGCGTTCATAATTTAGGAATTGTACATATTTTAGACTTAGTTTAAGTGAAAATTACAGTTTTCTATAAAAATCTGAATTAGAACTCAAGAAAAACCAATCAATTCAGCTGTAAAATTTAGAGTATTTTTTTTTTTATTTGTTTTGAAGAAAAATTAGCAGATGAAAACTGGGATCCTATCTCAATACCACTGTAGGTATAACCTTATTGTTTTTAAATAATTAAATTGAATTTGTAAAGAAAACAAATGAAATAGATCCAAAGGACCCATCAGAAACCCTTTCTGTTCCAGCGTAGATCATCATTAGAATTCCTTTGAGTATTATGTCTTCAGTACAGGGGCCATAACAAAGGCCAGGACATGATCCATAGGGGCACTGGCCCCTGTTGGCCCCTGTCTAGAACCGCCCATGTACCTAATTATGAAAATATTTTTAATGTTTTGAGCTTTTTATCTTTAAATCAATCCTTATTAACTTAGTTTTGTTTGTTAATCAGATAGAGGGAATATTTCAAAGACTTAAAAAAAAAAATTTTAAACACTTTTTTTCTCCCCGAAAAGAATATTTGATCTTGGTGGCATCAGATCCATTTCATTTCCTGCGTTCATTAAGTTGATGATTTTTGTATTTTGTATAGGACTGGGGGAGTGAGTGACACAACTATGGTAGCTTGTTCCTTCAGCCCTTGCAGTCAGATGTTCATGACGGGCTCCACTTATGGAGATCTGCGTCTTTGGGATCTGGATTTAAACCACCTCCTCGCGGAGAAGAATGCCCACGATCTGGGGGTCTCCTGCTGCAGCTTTGCTCCCAGCATCCTCAGTGGTGAGAACCTGTTTTAGGATTTATCTATCACATAGTTAAATACCCAAAGTGATCTTTTTTTTCCTTCCAACAATACAATAAAAACTGTTTTGCGTTTCTTCGTTTTGTCTAATTTTCTTTCATTTGGCTATTTAGGCAGCCAAGTTGTGCAGTTTCGTGTGGCATCCTGCGGGCAGGACTGTCAACTGAAGATCTGGTGCATTAACAAATTTTCCTCTGGAGGTACGAATGTATTGAGATAGTTTGTGATTGTGTTGCAAATCCTTCCTCTGGAATATTGCAGCAAAGTATAAAATTCCATAATCAGAAAAGGTAAACTGCAAAAAGTTGACAATAAATTAGGACATGGTTTGTTTTGTTAAATCAGCTATTTTAATAGATTTTCCATGCCGGTTTCCCTGTGCATCAGACTTAATGCACCACAGTTAGGCATGGGTTTTGTTAAAGTACAACTGACGTCGCTCCATTCGCCATTCTTTGGTCCACATATAATATTTGAAAACTCTCCCATTGAAAGGCTCGCCCGGAGCAGGGGGGTTCAGAGGTGGGCGTGGTCTTGGCTGATTGACAGCGGCACACTTGCACTTACAGCAACATTACCATGGTGAGATGATCGCTTTGAGACGGAGCGTTCAGATCTCTGCAGAAGTTCTGTGGAGACTACAAACCCTGAGCCTTACCGCATTAACCTCTGGCTCAGAGATTTGGTGTATCTGCTTCCTCCTCCCACATGGGTCGTTCTTGTAGGGACAGGCAGTAAATATCTGAACCATACACTTTTCATGTCATGTTCAGTTGACACAGATGAAGATAAACTAGCTCACGTTCATAGTTCACTTTTTCAAAAAATGAACTAAGTCCACAAACCTATAAATGAATTATTTCAAGCTAATTTGGTAAATTAAGCCACAATCCTATACAATAGAACCTCATATTTCACCCTTTAAATGTGTGATCATAATATATAGAAAGAAATGAAAAATATGCGATGCAGTCACAGCATACTGGATGTGCAATAAAGCCTATATTTAGCCAAATTACACAGAATTTCAGAAACATACAGCTACATTCTGCTGAAAAGATCTGATTCAAAAATTATGTCTAAGGCTCCCCAATGCACTAGCGGATATTTCCAAACATAGCTCGAATGCTTTAACTTTATGTGTCACTTTAAATTTGAAGTGGACCTGGCTGACATGCAAACTTGTTTGTTAAGTCCCGGTGTGCACAGTTTGCAGAAAAATTAGTTTTTTCTGTCTGAGTCTTTCTTTGTTGGTTCATAAAACTCTGCCAAGCAATCTGCAAAGCTTGTATCATATATACCAGAAAATGAGTCTGAATTGTGCAGACTAGTACTTGCGGAAGACATATAATATGCAAGCAATATTTGTTCTCTCACAATGAGAACAAACATGCTGGTTTCTTATGCTGTTTGCCACAATAAGTGTCGTAAAACCTGACGTTATCCAATGAAAAGTGTAGTTATCAATTGAATACGGACATGAGCTGTGTGTGTCGCTCATTCTTCCCAGAGTGAACATCGCTTTCGTTCAGGTTCATTACTTCAAAACTGATCCGTTTAGTTCACTGTTCACTAAAAAATATGATCGAATTCAGTGAACACCGTACATTGAACACATCCATGCACAACACTGCTTGTGACCCATTGACACTAAATGAAATCATTATCTTAGACAAGGCACACTCAGTTTATGTCCAGTTGTAATGCATTCTCTTTTTTTTTTTTTCTAAATACATTTTCTCTTTAAATGAGTCTTTGTTTTTGAGAACTTCTAAGATTGACACAATACCACAAAATCATCCATTGGTGATACAGACTTGTTTTGATCCAATTCTAATGGATTTACTAATTGCCAATTATAGCAAAATCATTGAAGTTATTGTCAGTAATAGAGCGAACCAACACTCCCCAGTTAGTGGAGCTACTGTCCTTAGTTCTTCCAAGTTACATCACATTCCTGATTAAGCCAATAGCTAAAATCAGATGCTGTAACCCCTTTATAACCTAACAAGGCTGCCAAATAGGCAAAATTATGTTGAAGTATGTCAAAATGAGACGCGGTATGTGTATAAGACATATGTTTATACAGTTTATCAGCAAAATAAAAAGTTTATTGAGGGGTAAGTAATCCTTTAAGAATTTATTGAAATAGGAGCATAGCTCAAGTCCCAGGGTTTTTGCAGATGTTTGCCCCCTCTGGTAACAAGCTGATATTACAGCACTGCTGCAGGCACGCATAGGAGAGGAGAAAAAAAACACAGCATCTGAGGGAAGAAAGCTCTAAGCAGTAAAGTTGTTTTGTTCTGAACACGTTCTTTCTTTAGCTAAGAGAGCCGTTCACAGATCCAAGCTCCCTCCTTGCTGAAAGCTTCACCAATTTTCACCTTTTTCTTGCACTTGACAAAATGTATACTTTCTTAATCTTGTGCGGAGTCTGATGGGGTTTCTCCGCTCCTCACTCTGAGAAGTGGCCAAACAGTGTTGGAGGTGAACATGTGAGAGCAGAACGTTGGCCCCTCCCATCAGCCTCCTTGGCATATGCGCTTGAATGTGACCTGAATAATGCTTTAAAAGGACCGATAAACCTTATGATAATATGATATACTTATAATATCGATATAAACAAAATAAGAGCCTCAGAGAAACTGCCAATAATGACAGTTTTATTTTACCACATTTATAAACTCTAACTTAACTTTTTTTAATTATTTGCTTTAAAGTGAACTAGAGTGAGCCTTGAAGTTGGAAAACAAATGGGTCCAGCAGCCTTAAAAGCACTAAGGTCTTTCTCCAATATTTAGTCATCAATATATGATGTTCCTACTAAAGAAGAAAAAAAAAACAAATAATTTAAAACAAATTATGTAATTCTCTTAAAAATTTTTAGCTTTTCATCCCAATTTCTTGCTTTCTTTTGGTTTTAAACAAATCTTTCTGCACGTTCTTTGGTGTTTTTGTTGACACAAGAGCCCCCAGAAGCCACATGTGTTGCTTTATATTGTAGGCTTTAAGATGGTCCTCCTACATTCACTGAGTGGCCAGACGGCTCCAGTCCTCTGCTGTGCGTTCTCATCTGATGGGAAACTACTTATGTCTGGGTAAGGTCCTAGCTTTGAGAGCAAATAGATGAAGCACCTTTTGCTGTCAGACTATTAATCTGGTAATCTAAAAATAGTCAAAATATAAATTGATTAGCAAAGTGTTAATTAATTGCACTCCTAAATATTTTTCTTATTACTATTATCACCCTGAAAGGTTTCACAGTGTTACCTTTAAGCTGTTTTGCCACAATTTTTTATAGTGTATCCTGAAAATATTCATAGAACTGAACTTTTCCTACATTTGGTCGTGTTTCAGGTTTATTCAGAATACTTTTAAATGTGTGTCTTTTATCAAAGCTCTACATCTATACCTCACAATGACAGTGTTGAAAAGTTTTTGCTTTTAGACAGCAAATTTATTTCGATATATACATGTGGGGAAAATAGTTGGTATTTTAGGAAAAGAAAAACCCACAAAGGTCACAGAAATAACTTAAATCTGACAAAAGTAATAATAAATGGAACTTCTATGAAAATAATGGACTGAAAGTCAGACATTGCTTTTCAACCATGCTTTAACAGAATAGTTTAAAAATATAAAAATGAAAAAGGCTTGGACAAAAACAAAGGTTTCCCTAGAAAAGACTGAGATAATGTTACCAAAGGAACATGTTACATCAAAATGTGTCCACTAATTAGCAGCACAGGTGTCTGTAATCTTTTAATCAGTCAGTGGGCCTATATGTGGGGATACAGCACTGATCTCTATTTATTCACTGGATTGCTGATACATACACAACACACAGTGCTGTGAAGTCATCAGCTGCCATATTGGTACTCCCTATTTAGACTGATTGGAATGTAAACAATAGATGCGCTACAGCATCAAACAACGATGATTTTCTCCTTTTCAGGCTTAAGACTTTAAAAATAAAGGTAAAGTTATCACTTTGACACACATTTGCTGTTTCATAGCATAAGTAGATTACTGTAATTTATTGTAAGAATTGGCAAATCAAATTACACACTCAGTATGAAGTCTGTGAAATCTATAAATCATGTAATATAACATTATACAAATCCATCACAACAAAAATAGTTTGTTAAAGGAGGATGATAATACTGATCTTAGATATTAGGAATATTACACACACACATTGTCTGATGATGTGCCGAAAGTGCCAAATTGATGATGTACATGTAATATACATGTATTGATTATATTGTTATGGTAATTGGGGAGTACCAAGATGGCAGCAGGTGATGAATAAACGAATAGAGATCAGGTACTCATGTCTGTTTGGTGACATGGTGTCTACGGCACTCAACATGGACCAGACAGGACACAGGAATCCAAAAAAAGGTTGTCTCAGGAGAAAGAAAACTATACACTAGCCTGTTAACCTTGAAGGATATAATACCATCTCCAAGCAGCTTAATGGTCATGTGACTTCAGTTGAACTGTATCCAGCCTCCCTGGACGTGGTTTCGGTGACCACTGTGGGTTTTTCTTTCATTAAATGAGGGATATTGACAATTTTCTTCACGTGTGTAGAAAAGAAAGAAGTAAATCCTTTTTTAAAATAAGGCTGTTACGTAACAAAAGATGAAATGAATAAATATTTGTTGATTGAGGTATGTATCTGTTTTTAAATAAATCAAAATTATCTAGATGAATTAATTGATAATCAATTGATAATCAAATGATCAATAATTTTCTGCTCTGAGACCTTCACCACTACATACGTCTTTTCCTTTACTTCTAATTACCCCGATTCTCTTGAGAACTCTCTGCCATATTCTTAGTTAATTCTTAAATCATAATATTTAACTCAAAAAGGAGAGTCTCAATTTTTATCTTTTTAGGATAAAAATAGAGATTTGTAGATCGTTTAATAGTACATAGACAGTAAATAGGCCAACTTTTAAGTTTTTATTCTACAGTGCTCCTTTTAAACCACTAGAGGGAGACAAACAACCAGTATTTTCTTAGCTGGAGAACCTGGATTTAACAGAACTATTTTTTTCTTTTCTTTTTTTCTGTAGCTCAGTGGACAAGAGTGTTAAGGTTTATGATGCAGTGAGTGGCTCTCATATAAGTCTTCAGATACCTAACATTTTAAAGTTTATCCCCGACTCTATTTTACTCATTTAGTTTTGTCACTTTTTCTACAGAATACTGTTGCTTTGCTTTACACACTGAACCATCATGAGAGGTAAATATTAATTTCTGTATTGTTATTATTTCTCATTGTCTGCAGCATTTTCATATTTAAATACATAGGACGATGCTCTATCCCACCACACAAATGGATAAGTCACAGATGAATGATCACAGAAGCCATTTCCACATCGATCCAGCCACCTGTGTCTGAAAGACATCAGGCTCCTTTCAGTGGGGGCAAATGAAAGTGCCTTTTGGAAAAAAGAAAAAAAAAATCAGTATCTAAAGTAGAAGCAGGAAGATAAATGCTGGGTGAATGGAAGCTTTAGTCTAGTGCTTCTACCAAACTCATTTGACTATAGATTTAAATTCAGAAAGCGTCTTGATTGGAGGTTTAGCGAAGCTCTTCTCTCAGCTTGTGTGTGAAGCCAAGGAGCTTTTATGGATCAACATTTCTCAGCACTCCAGCTTAGCTTTTAGAGAGCTCTCCCACATTAACTCTGCCCTGACTTCCTAAAACCCACTAAAAATGTGATTCTAGATGAAGAATTTCTACAATAAGAATATGATGTTTTTCAGTTCTTGAAAGGTATAGAGAGGGAACTCGGGGTGTGGGGGGAATATTTCTTCATTGTTTCTGATTGTCAAGGGAATTTTCATGATTACATTTATTCAAAGAAGTATCAACCAGACTGTTTTTTGCTTGTCGACGAGTATGGCTTCCAACTTAGGAAACATCTTTAAAAGGTTCTTTCTTTTTTAATGAAAAATATTAAATAAAACAAATGAATCTTGATGCAGAAAGGTTACTTTATAATCTGGACATTCATAGTAAAAACTTGCTGTCTGTTGGGAGGATAATTTCTATAGGAGATGGCTGGTCATAGGGGGATGAGCCTAAATTGAAAGTTGAGTGGAAGGAATCTAGGAGATAGATTTGCAAGCAATGGAATGGGGGAGTGCTTTAGAGAGATATTTAAATGTTATAGGATATACACATTCTGTGAAGTATATTTTCGTCTTTTTTCCTTATTAGCTAAAATGATCAGAAAGGAAAGAAAATATATGTCACATTTTAAATTAAATGACTTGAAGAATACACTTTGAAAACAATCTAAGATATACGGATGATATTATTTGATAAGATTCAGGTTTGGAACATTACACTGATATTAACCAGCATAAAAAAGAAAAACAATTTGAAATCTATGCATCTAAAATCTGTGATATTTGCTCCAATATTCTGCTTCTCTCAGCTTCTGTTTAAAGTTAATGCAACCAACTGGGTGACAATACACTGGCCGGCTGTTCTCCTACATGTTTTTGTTTACTTTTCTTTTTGAGTGAAATTATTTGATCTTTTCTAACTTTCTTCACTACAAAATAAGTAATTAAAATATTTCTAACTTGTGCTGATATCATATCAGGGTAATATTGGTGTCAGTTACGTAAAAAGAAGTGATACTGGCATCATATTTGAAATGAAATAAGTTATATTGGGACACCCCTACCAATATCCAACCCTATAGTAGCTGATCTTTACTCTTTTTCTAAAAGCAGATTTCTCACTGCAGCAAGTAGAGCAAGAAGAATCCTATTATTTCCTTGAAGTCACAAATATCAACAAAGTTATTTTAAAAATACTAACAAACTCCCAGATTAGGTTCAGGTTACTATTTTCATGCCCAAAGGTTAATTTGCTCTGCAACAAGATACAGCAAGGCACCCAGGTAACTGCTAAACCTGTAAGGTTTGATCTTAATCATCATTAAAACTTACATGCATATTGACATCTTCCCAAAAGGAAACGGTAGAATCATTTGTAAGAAGTATGAAAATCTATTACTTATCAAAGTTTCTATATTGCTATCTCTCGTGTAACTGACCGCTGCTGCAGGTATGTGACAGCATGCGCCTTTTCTCCAACCTCACCACTCATCGCCACCGGGTCCATGGATAAGACCGTAAACATCTGGAGGCTGGAGGATGGGTGCAGCGGACAATGTGAGTGAGGGGAAAAGAAAAAAAACACAGAAAAAAAGAATTAAATATTTATATGTATGTACATTTCTACATAAATATGCAGAAAATAATAACCTCTAACCTCTTGCCATATATCTCCTCTCTCCTTTACCTACCTGCTGTTTGATGGGAAGGTGGAAAGTCTTTGCCTGGTTAGTTTTGCATTTTATCTGAAATATTAAAATGCTTTATTTTGTTATATACTTTTACTCTCTTAAATGTATCGGAATATATGCTATAGGCTAAAGATTAAAAGTAAACCCTGTCAGTGGAATCTGTAGTTTAGAACTGGACTAGTCACTGATGGAGCCTTTTTTTCAATCCGCAGCGAGGGACACAGGTGTTTTCTGCTTTGAGTGTTTTCTTTTCTTTACACCTTAGCCTCAAGAGTCTCACATTGCTTTAAAAGTGCTTTGCAGGTCTCTTACTTACAATTTTGTTTCCCTCTTTCTGCCATAAAGAAGAGTCTGCAGAGACACCCTTTGAAGGTGAGGGGTAAAGATAAAAAAATTGGAGCTTTATATGTAGGGGGGGATCTTTGCTCCTTTTTTTTCCCTAGAAGGTGTTACAGCTGTCAGCAGCTGACCCCTCTCGCCTTGACTCGCCCTCTTAGGGACAGCCACGGTAGGCCGATCCAAGCTGCTGGTCGCCGATTGGTCAGAGGCGGATGTGTCAGAGTGGCTGTTTGAGGAAGGGCTTGAGGGATTGGTGGAGAAATTCAAGGCCAATAACATAGATGGGACAGAGCTGCTGAGCCTCACCAAGGAGACGCTGGCGTCAGAACTGGGCATAGGTGAGGAAGACAAATGTCACACTCTGCTCAGCGAGCAGCACCACCACTTGTTCACTTCGTCCCTCTCTTGTTGTCCTTATGTTTATCTATTTGTCTGAATGAGAAGGAAATAAACAACGTTTTATGGGACTGATTGACATCAAGCTGTGTATAGGTTAGGATTTCCTTTACTTCATCACATCAATGAAGGGCAGCACAGTGGATTAGAGTGCTGGTGAGGGAATCACGTTTATTAAGGGGTTTTACTCGCCCAGATTACATAATATTAGGCTGAACTGCAAAAGCCCTGGGCTTTAAAGACTTGGTCAATTCTGGCTTAAATCTGGTGCACTTTGGGTTACATAACCCAATCCGCAAAGCAGCATTTCCCATAAAGCATGAAGTGGATTTTATATCTAATATCATTAAAGCCTTTCGGTTATTTCTTTTTCAGACGTATTTATCTATTTCTCTATAGCTTTTCTCTTGTTTTCATGCATTCATGAAGTGATGCCACAAGGCTGAAGTCTGAGTGTTATGTTGTTGGTTTCAGTCTACCAGCTAAGGCATCATTCGTCACGTAGTTCTCAGCAAACGTTTGCCGTAACGCCACAAAATGTCGTCATTTCCATCCCACAGACGCTGTCAATCACTGCTCAGTTTACACAGCATCAGAGCTGTGACAGCTTGTGCTCACATTGTTCTGTTTTTAGCAGCAGCATGAATCCCACCTTCTTAGCAGAGCTAACTTGCAGAGCAGTGCTGGAAAGCATTGCATTTTATCTACTGCTATGACAGACAGAGACAGCAGTTGTGTGTTTTTTTTTTTGTTTTTTTTAAAGGCAGGAATAAATGTACCCGTAAGTTTGTCAGTGAGGTAAAAAAAAAAGTTTTTTTATTCAGTTCTTAACCATTTTTAAACTCTTCTCTCCTTTTGATTGCTATTTGCATTGGACAGACGTGGTTTTCTCCCACTATATTCACTCCCACCCACGCTCACATTTGCCATTGAAGAGTGAAAAGTGATAAATGCTCAGAATACTCACCATGACATTGTTGCACATGGAAGTGTTGGGGTCAGAACACGCTTTCTGCTCTGACCTATTTCTTTATATATATTTTTTTTTCTGGTTTTGTGCCTTTAGAGTCAGTCGGCCTGCGAAGTAAACTTCTGAGGAAGGTGGAGGAGCTGAAGAGTGACTCTGTGTGCTCAGGGATTCCAGATGAGTTTCTGTGCCCGATCACCAGAGAGCTTATGAGGGATCCAGTCATAGCTGCTGGTATGTCAACCCTCCTGATTCATTCTTATGTAATAGACTAATACAAAGCAATTCATAATTGTATAAATGGGAAAATGATCCATGACTTTGTTTTATCATGGTTTGTTTTACAGATAAAAACCTGAAAAGTGTGGCATGTTTGATTTTTTTTTAAACCCTTTTTACACTTTAGAGGTCACCTTAATGTGAAATAAAGTCCAGCTGTTTTATGCAGGTCTCAGAGGTTCCATAGAGAACAATAGAGAACTGACAGCTTCATTCAGACTAAGGGACAGAGCAGACGGGTCTGGTTTACAAATATGTGGATATCTAAAGAGGAGAGTTGGAATATAAGACAACATTTATGATCTCAGATGTCCTGAAGACAGCTTTTCAATCCAACATCCAAAATGGAGAGTTTGATAGAAATCCATCTGGTTTGCAATCAGTGAAGTAGTACGGAGAACTCTGGAGGCGCTGCAGTAGATCTCAGGTTGGAGATTCTTTTAACAGGAAAAAGCCGTGCACTCTACATATTTATCCCCTATGAAGGAATAAAAGAAAGCCTTTCAAAACACAGTGGTGGCAGTACAATGCTGGGGATTATAACACAAGATGTATTATTTTTGGAAAAAATATGACTTATCTTTAAGCTTTGTGGGTGGTAAAAGAAAGACTTCTTAATTCTGAACTACTCAGTGTTGGTTTACATTTAAAAGTAGCATTTAATACGTATAAAGGACAAAAGACCTGAGGTGTTTCGTAATTAACGAACTGACCTGCTCCAACAGATGGATACTCGTACGAAAGAGAGGCCATAGAGAGCTGGATCAACACCAAGAATCGTTCCAGCCCAATGACCAACCTTCCTCTGCTGACCACACTCCTCACACCCAACCACACTCTCAAGATGGCCATCAGCCGCTGGAAGACCAGCCAGTAGCATCGCCTGACTTGCTGCATGTTTTCTTCTAAAGCCAACAGGAATGAGATGCATCTGGTTCAGCTTTATTCTCATTATGCATTTTTTTCCTGAAGGAGGAAAGCTGGACTAGACGAGAAAAAAAAACATTAATTATAGATCTTCTCGGCTTTAACCTCCTTTATCAGACAGCAGGCCTGAATATGGTCTAAGATCTGTGTGTGTTTGGTTTAATGACAGAGGTGATTAGGATCTCCATGTTTTAAAAAGGCAAAGAAAACTTATTACATTATTTTTATTTTAGCTCAACAAACAACTATTTGATTTTTTTTTCTGTATTCACAAGAAAATCAACACAAAATAGAGGAGACTGATATAAGATATTAGATGATGAAATATGAGAATATGTTCCTGAAAGCTGGAGCATCATGTTATCTGAATAGCAAATTCTGACCTTTGCCTTTTTTATTATCTTATACAGATTCATTGGATTTAAATTAGATAAAAAATAGAAAGATCCCAGTTTAACTATGGTTGTTTACCTTTCAAAAGCAAGAAACTTTTATTTTTATCAAACTCACTCCTAGAGCAAGAGATAAGATGGCAAAAATTGCACAGACTGAATGAAACCTTTCTGAACTTTCCTTATTTTTAGTGTAAATTCCTTGCAAATGGTTTTCATTATAGTGAGACTACGATAAAATCATAAAATGCTGAGATATATTTTTCCACCCTCTTCCTCTGCATTATAATCAAGTCTCAATATTAATCCTCCTGAGCGATTAAAGGGGTAGGAGAGGCTTTTTTTGGACCAATGTGTATCAATTTAATCTCAATACAAGAAATTAGGAAATATATTTGGAAGAATTTAGCTGACATTTTATCTTTTGTGTGGTTTTAGTTTACATTCTTTAATAATCTTCAGGTATAGATATTGATTAATACTACTGCTGGCCCAGATCAGTTGGAGCTTTACTTCTCAGGAACATCTGTCAGCATCCAACAAGTGGTAATAAATTAAATGGTTTCATAAAACTGTCAAATGTTTATATCTGGTGATGCATTAGGTTTTATAACAGCAGTGGGTCATTTATGTGAGGATAAATGACATTGTGTCAAAATGCTTTTTCAATTTTTTTGCATGGCAGAACATGATAAACATTTTTTTGTTTCACTGTATACGAATTAGATGTGAAAGAAAAAAAGATACAGTCCTTCATAAATATTTTTATTAAACCACAATTACAATGTGGTAACATTTTGTATATCATAGTATAATTCTGCAAAGGGTATATGACAAGTATGGACATAATTAAATGTAATAAGTCTCTTAAAGTGTAATTTTTCTTACGTTCTTTAATTTTATCCATCTTTGAAAGTGATAAACACTTTGTCTAAATATGTTCTCTGCTATGCAAAAATAAATAACATACTGTAAATATATCGATGCAGTGATGTCATGACGAGAGGATTCCAACGATGTCATTTACAAAGCCTTTTCTTATCAAACGTTCCCAGAAGGAGAAGTACACAAAGTAATCTCTGTTTAAGCCTGTAACGCTGACAGATAATCACCTAAGAGGAAATATATTATCTGAAAAGGTCGTGTACACCGTACAAATATAGATGTTTTTAAAAGACACTTGACAATAGAAATGGTCATAACCTGCAGCTAACAGCGTGAGGTTTTGTATATTCGTGCACAAAGCTTTATCAGGCTTATTTATTTGATAATTTACTGCTCTAAAAGTTTAGACCATGTACTCATGTATTTTTTTATCTTTTATTTTTTTAGAATCTACTTAAGGTATGTCTGGTTTCCATGATTACACTAGTCTGTTTGTATACATGTAAGCAAAAGCGTAGCGGCCTGAGTTCTGGTTCTAGATTGTTAATGCAGTGCAGCAGAAGAAATCTACAAATCTACAATCTCAGAGAAGGGAGCTACTCTCTGGTCAGCCTCCTTGCTACCTTACGTAAGGACATAAGCATGTCAGTGCTTTAACAAAGTCTCTTCAGACGTTGGACTCTATAAAGGAGCGTTTGGGTTTAATGGGAGCCATGTGCAGAGCTGGGTTGTCTCTCGTGAGGCTCGACTGTCTCTGTCTGCCCTCGGGAAATAGTAGCTGAGAAGACGCAGCTCCTCTGCTCTCTCGCTGATGGGAACGTTCTCCAAATTCCCTGCCTTGCAGCTGGCTCCCAGAGAGCTGCTCCTGGAAGGAGGCGCGTTTGTACTCATTGTTCAGCCCTTGGAACTCCATGACTGACATACTGAAACTCTCTGCGCCTCCCCCTCCCTGACCTTGTCGACCTACGCTGGAGCTCTGCTGGCTCTGGACTCGTACAGCCTTGTCCGTGACCCCCATGAAGGGGCGGGGCTTCAGCTCAGGTTTGGCCTTGAAGCTGCCGCTGCTCTTGTTGGGACACTGGACATCCGGCCCCTGCTGCCTGCCTCCGTCTGACAGGTTCCCGCTGGAGGCCTGACTGGAGCTGGAGCCCCTGGAGCCGGCTGTTCCTCCTCCACCCCCATCCCTCCTCCCATCCAGCCCAGATCCCAAAACCAGAGAAAGGCTATCCAGAGGCCCGGAATGGGTGGACATTCTGTCAGAGCCCCTGGAGAAGCTCGAGGAGCGAGGCTGGAACATTTGGAGAGGTCCAGGTGGGGATGAGCTGTTTGGTGACAGAGGATGATAATGCTCAGTGGGACTGTGCCGTGAGTGTTCGTTGGCTGATCCAGGGCCAATGTCAATTCCCGCCAGAGGTGCTGGCCTCAGGGAAGTGGAGATGTGCCTCCCTGGTAGAGGACTAGAAGGACCACAGAGAGACATGGGCCTGCCTGCACCTCTGCTCCCTGACTGGAGAGAGTGACAGTTGTGGTGAGTCCTGCTGCTCTGATTCTGTGTCAGTCTATTCATGGCATGAGCAGGCTCAGACATGTCCACAAACAGCTGGTTCTGAACATATTCCTCAGGAGGGAAACATGGAGACTGATCTGGTAAACCAAATGCCACACCTCCAGGGAGCGTTCTGTGTGGACCGTATGGATTCAGAGGCCAAAATTCTGGACTTTTCCCGCAGTGGAGACCCACCTCATCCCCTTCCTCTCTTTCTTCTTCCCTCTCTGGGTCAAGCTGCTCTGCTGGGATTTGCCTCTCCAGGCTTCCATGTGAAAAGACATCTGTCTCCTCTTCTGTGGGTTGGTGGTGGTGGGCGTGAGGGTTCCTGTTGTAACCCTGCGCTGCGTTGCTGGCTAACTTCTGATGATGTTTGCATTCCTCTTCTACTCGCGCCAGCAGGCGGCGGATCTCCCGGTTGGACGGGCAGAGTCGTGCTGCTTCGTGGAGGTCTGCCAGCGCTGCAGCAAACTGCCTGGGGAGGACAGGGAAAGCGAACAAAGGCTTTTAAAAATACTTACTTTATAGAACCTCAGAGGGATAGGAATGGTGCTTCTCACATGAATTGCTCCAATTTAACATAACAATAAACTTAATGCAATATGATTTACCTGCTACTCCTTTTAGCCCGTGCTCTGGCGTAATAAGCTTCATAGGACCTGGGTTTCAGTTCCAGGGCTTTAGTCGCAAACTCCTCAGCGATGCCAAAATCCTGTGTTGTCACAAAGAACCGTCCCTTTAAGTTAGAGAACTGGCTAAATGGATTTTCTCTTTACAGATGTCTTTTGCTCTTTGCTTCTCACTAAAAATTGACATCTTTACTTTAACTGATATCAGACAGAGGTAAACCTGAGAGCAAACCTGAGCATCCAAGATGAAAGAGCCACTTAAAAACACATTATGTGAGTTGCTACTGAAAAGTATCTTTAAAATAGCCTCTTTTTTACGCTTTACAACTAAAACATAGTTTGATGAGCAGACTGACACCTCAGCAGTTCAGCACTAACGCACCAATAAGCCTGAAGCCTATTTTCCCGAATTTACTTTCTGTCATTCTAAGTTCTGCAGATGTGTTAAATGGGTCCATCTGGCAAACAACTGAAGCGTTATATTCGAGATGGATCTGTGAATACTCAGAAGCGACCAGCATCCAGCTCAACTCCGAAACACTGGCAAGAAAAAAAAGCTACTTTAAGTAAAAGAGAGATATGAGAATGAGCAGAAGAGTGCTGCAGCTCTGTGTTTTGGCCACAGGTGGCAGTATCATGGGAAAACTAATGCTTCTTTAAAGGTTAGGCTAAGACACATCAATTAGATATAAGAGTGCATTTAAATTTTTTTCTCTTTTACTAATTCAGAAGTGAACTTGTTGGTGTGTTTTGGATTATTTTCTTGCAGCAGAAGTCTATTGCACTTGAGCTTATGGTGAAAAACCAATGCCCAAAGATTCTCCATGTTTTTCTGGTAAAGAGCAGAATACATGGCCCATTAATCATACAGAAGCTGCATATCAGAATTAGAGCATCACAGTGGGGCACTCCCAGGGAGGCCATTTTCACCCAGCCTCTGTCTTTTTGTTGTTAAATCCTTTAACTGAGCTCTACAGGCTACAGACCTTCAGATGCTGATCTCGGTTCTTGACTGTGACCTCCTGAATCAATGCTCAGTGTGCTCCTGGAGTAATTTGTGGAAAATGTTTCTTACTTTGGTTTACTAGAGCAGCCTTTTTACCTCTACCAAGGAGGGGTTATGTTTTTAGTTGAGTTTGTGTGCGTGTTTATCTGCTTGTTTGTCCGTCCATCTGTGCACAGGATAACTTGAAAAATTATGAACGTAATTTAATGAAATTATTTACCAAAGGTCCAACTACAGAGTTTATACAGGAATTAGTAACTCTAATTTTATGCTTTTTAATGCCACCAACAATTACACATGACTAAATATATATATATATTTACATATATTTATATATGGCTGTAGCCATGTCCCGAATTCCTCGTTTTCCAGTCACTTTTGTTTAAAATTGCGCTTTCCCATTCCCTAGTTTTTTCTCTGCCTCGAGCTTCTTTTAAAAACATACGGCTTGACGATCAACTGGAAGCAGTTATATCTGATATAATATATCTGACAAAATTGTATGTAAAATGTTTTTTTTTTCAAATGAAGCATTTAATATTAAGCAATTAGGGCCTTAATTTAAGAAATAATATTTTAATGATTTTTAATGACCCACGGAAACTCTGACCTAAGTGTAAGGAGCAACCCATTAAAGTTTGGTGATGATCCACATCATAATCTGGATGCAGATTATGATGTCAGTGACTACTGACAGCTTCAGCATCTGACTCAAAAACTCCAGAAGTATTTTACCGAAGACAGAAACACAGGAAAGATGAGCAATGCCTTACTCAAAATCACGTTCTGCTGATCAAACAAGAAAGCAGAGTGAATGTAGAATGTAGAGTGCAGAGCATACACCAGAGGCTGCAGACACACTGCATCTTGATTCTAAACATATGAAAGGATTTTAGGGAAACTGTTACTAAAGATTGCAACTCTTTCCAAGGAGCAATTTGTTCAAATCTGGTAATGATCCAGATCATGTGAGTGCTTTTCTAATTAAGAACGTTCCAGAACAACAACAGTTTTCAAGAAAATATCTGTTTCTCATCTGTTTAGAAACACTTTAGTTGATGGTAGAGTCTCCTTATTTTTTTACATATTCTAACTGTATTTGTTAAACAGGTTGTATTTCAGTGGTTTCTTTCTACAGTCCCGGCAGTAATCAGGCCTGTATGCGATTAGAATGTAGCTGATGGGAGTTCATTTATAATACAAGAGGGGCCCAGTTATATTTTCACTCAGGGAAAAAAAACACATTTCATATTAACTTTGGTTATTAACTTTGGTAAAAATAGAAGACATCGGTAATGGCTCTAATACTTTATCACATCACTATAAGTTCTAGATTTCTCCTTTGTTTCGATCCCAAACCCTGCGTGTGATACCCTGCCAAAGCAGACAGCTGCAGTGTTTCCTCTGCAGCAGAAATCTGATGCTTTTCTGATAAAAAAAAAAATTAAGTTTTCAGTTGTATGGATTTGAAGACCTACAGCTGTTCAAACTGCGATCAGTTTTAATTGAGAGGAAGAACAGCAAATGAAAC